AGACGTTAGCTGGCCTTTTAAAAGATCAACCATCTTGGGCTGTGCAGCAAGCACATGCTGTGCCTGCCTTTTAGAACATTTCAGGGCCTTTGATCTTGTGAACTGAAGACACAGTTTGCTGAAGAAGCTGTGCATGTACCACTGACTGTTACCTGAACCAGAGCTGGGCCTCTTAAGATTCCCTGCAACACTCCTGACAGGTTTGTTCATGTGCATCATTCACACAGCAGCCCATTGTCTCCTTCTTGCCACCTCACCTGTCTTACAGCATGTTCTTTTGGTCTCCCTGGGGATAACAGCTCTCAAGAAGTGAAACCGGTCAGTTTTATAGTGCTCTTTAATCACAAAAATTGTGTTTTGCTTGCTGATATTTGCTTTTTGTGGTCTTTAGAATAATTTTAGCAATTCCAAGCTCTGTTGAGAACAGCGTGTGCCATTTAAGTGCTCTAGCCACTCAAGCCTTGGAAGGCAGATGCAGGGACTGTGAGAATTAAGACCTTAGGCCCAGTGTAGGAGAGGATCTGGTTCGAGACCATATTAGGAACCTGTATGTGCACAAGTCATGGGACCTAATGAAATCCATCCACGGGTCCTGAAGGAGCTGGCAAATGAAATTGCTAAGCCACTGTCCATCATATTTGAGAAATCATGGCAGTCAGGTGAAGTTCCTGACACCTGGAAAAAGGGAAATATAACCCCCATTTTCAAGAAGGGGAAAATGGATGACTGGGGGAATTACAGAGCAGTCAGTCTCACCTCTGTGCCTGGCAAAATCTTGGAGCAGATTCTCCTGGAAGGCATGCTAAGGCACATGAAAATCAACAAGGTGTTTGGTGACAGCCAGCATGGCTTCACTAAGGGGAAATCCTGCCTGACCAATCTGGTGGCTTTCTATGATGAACAGAGTCAAAGCAGCTGACATCATCTTCCTCAACTTGTGCAAAGCGTTTGACACTGTCCCACATGACATCCTTGTCTCTAAACTGGAGAGACATCAATTTGATGGATGGACCGCTTGGTGGATAAAGAATGGCTAGATATCAGATGCAAAGAGTCACAGTCAATGGCTCAATGTCCACCTGGAGACGAGTTCAAACTCCGTCTTATTTCAGTTCCAGAAAACAGTCAGAAAGCCACAGCAGCTTTCACCCCTCTACTTGACCAGCACCTCTTTCTTACACATGATGTAACACTGAAATTTTGGATAATTGGTTAAGGCATGGTGGTGAAGATTATTCAGCAAAAAATAAGTAATAGGCAGTTCTCTGTATCTCATAGTCCTGATCCTGGAGTTTTCACTTAAGAAGTAGAGATGGGCAACAGAGGATTTGATTGCGGAAGATATGATTTGCGTGTTATTTGAGGCACCTCCAATTTCCATACCAGAGTAATAGCTATATAGATACTGTTACAGAGATATTCTTGGCTCTGGTCCTGAATCATCAGCAAGGATTGTGGGTTTACTATTAAAAGAATAAGTGTTTCTTTAGAATCAAAACAGATTACTCTAAAGAAAGTGAAAATGACCAGAGCTCCAAGCCAGCCTGGTTTTCCCAGGATTACGATAGCTGGAAAAAAAGCAGAGGTCATGGATCATGTTCTGTCACTTCACTCTATTGATATTTTTCATGTTTCAGGCATACATCCAAAATTGAATACTGTTCCATAGAGCAAAAGCAACTCAAACAAAGTGGCAATAATAATGCACCCGTTATCAATTGTTCCCACACCTACAATTTTAACACTGTAACTAGGAATCTGATGTGCACCTTTTCCTTTCTTCTACTCTGTCTCCATTAAGTCATCGTAATCTTTGTGTTTCTTCATAGCATAAATGTCTTTAGAGTATCTTTTGATATTCTTCTAAAAAAAAAAAATTGCCTAAATCAGTGGTATCATGTCTTGAAAGACAAGGAATAATTTAAGGTGCTAGTTTTTCTAGATACAATCTAAGCAGGATCCAAGTACTTTCTAAACTGGATGTGTCACATTTTTTGTATGCTGGTAGTCTGCATAAAGCAAGCTTGCTCTCTTAGCATGTACAAGAAACACCTGTATAAATGCAGAGATGATTTCCACTCACAGCAAGTTCATTGTGTAAGTCCGTTCTGCTGTCAGATGGTCAGTAATTTTGTCTGTTGAAACACACCTTTTCCTCTTGGAATACGTGGTTCTTTCACATTTTTTGATTACGATGTATGCCTTCAGTTGAGATCCTGATAATAGCAAACTTCTGTGTATGGTAGCTTCAGCAAAACTCTAGCAATCGTTGGAGTGACTGAGGGGATGAACAGAGATCATATCTTAGCAGTTGGGTTTTTATGCTCTAGTTAATTCTCCAGTGCAGTGATAGAGGTCTTTAACTGTCATAAATATTTCCAAAAGTTCAGTCACTGACTGGGATCAGAAGAAAGCCACATCATGTGTTACCCTCTTCTCACCTAAACCTGAAATGTGTAAGAAAAAGTTGTTCTTCCATCCCAGCTGTCACTCATCTGAAAGTGATCATGGACTTTCTCAGCACTGAGTTCATTTTCATCCATTGTCTTAACAAAATTTCACACCTTCCAAGTGAAAGCAGTATTTCTTTTTTTTATTTTTTTTACACCTGTAAAAAATTGCAAGAGCTTTTCAAATGTGGTGTCTCACCTCTTCAACTCTCAAAGAGAAACCTCATAACCTGGTATTTTCAGCTCTGCGCCTGTGGAGGCAGCATGCCTTTCGCATAACTCCACAGGCAAAAGTGCTGTGCTGGTTGTTGCTGAGCTGAGTTAAAACGTTGTAGCCCTGAGCTGCTTCTCAGAGACTACTGTCTTCTCTGCATGTGTCCCATTCTATTGAAATAATGTGTTGAGGTGGGGGTTTTTTTAAGGCAAAACAGTATTGGTCAGATTTTTAGAACAAGGTCAAGAAGGAAATATATGTGTGGTTATTCTTACAGATTGACGAGATTACTTAATAAGTAGCCTAGAACAGAAAGTTGTCAAGTTGAGCAGCAGGTATGGATCTCCCTGCACATTTGATCTAAATACTGAAGTACTGAAGCTATTTCACTTTCCATCCTCAGAAGCATTGCAATAGTAAATGCATCCTTTCATGCTCACCAAATTTGTAAATTTTTCAGGACTTTAACAGGTAAACATTTCTGTACTCCAGTGGTACCAGTCCTTTTCCTTTTCAAGCCTTCAGTTTAAAAGTCCAGTACATTGCATGCATTTGTTTAAAACACCAATATTAAATAAACACACTGCCATCTGTCCTGTTCCCCTCTATTTTCTTGTTCATGTGTTCTTTCACATGGAGCTCAGTGAGTACTTTTGGAGCAAGTATTTTTATTTTAGCCACAATTAGAATTTCCTAACTAAGATTAAGTTAAATTGTTTAGAAGGAAAACAGGAAGAAAAAAACAAAGCTATTTTGCTACAAATAAAGTCTGCTCAAGGAGTGGTAACAAGTGAATTATAAAAAAGCGGTTTTATTGTCACTGCCACCCTCAACAGTTTGCCAGTGTGATCCTAAGTAACCAGATTGTGATAGGTCTTTATTAAAAAAGATCTTGACAACAAGCAGATTTATTGGTATCATTAAAAGCAATCTTAATATTTTACATTAAGCTTTATAACTTTTCTTGCATCTTTAATAGAAGACTGTGGCAGCAATGTTATTAACATAATAGTTACTATTGGCATAATTAGCAGAATTGTTGTAGCACATCTGATTGTTTTTAGAAAACCATTCTCTGGAGTCAGCAATATTAATATGCTTTTGCTTGTAAACTAGGGCAGGTAAAAATTTGGATTATTTGGAAATTCGGCATTTTTACTATTTTGGCATTTGCGACTAATTTTTTTAATGAAAAGTAGGTAGGAAATCAGTAGCATTCGGAGTTTGTTTTTCATCATCACTCCTGCATGATGCCTTCTTTCACATTGCCATAAATGTTTAGGACCTCCTTTTCTCTGCAAGGTAATGAGAGGTGGGACAAGCCACCCTTATGGGGCAGTAAGGGGTTTTTTTATGTCCAGATGCACATCCTGATTTGGCCACACCATCTAAAGATGAGAATTAAGGTCAGAGGACAGAAACAGATGTTTTCCTGCCATAGAGCAATCCTTTGAGTTCATTTTAGAACTGCTGTTTTATGATCAGGGCTATTGTCTTCATCTCCTCTCTAGCCAGTATCCATAAAATGTTTCTGAATTCTATTTTAAAGTTTTTGCTATTAGGAGAGATAATGGCGTCGTTGTCTTTCTACATCTAGTTATTACAGTGCTTGAGTCTCAAGATCTTGATCAAGATCAAGAAGAAAATGTTTGTTCTTACACCATTTCTACAAGGCTGCAAAAGGTTTGTGATGAGGGCTGGCCTACTTTTGTCTTAGTCAGGACATGCATCCAGCAAGCTCATTATATTGGTTACTCACAAGAAAAGTCAAAGAATAGCTCAATCATCCTTGAAGGCATCTATTTCAACATTTGTCATGTAGAACAAAAGAGTCTGTGTCATCATCTCCTTCTGGGAGTACACTGTATTGTTAAGTGATTTGAATAAACTTCTCACATGCCACCTTCCTTCTAAATAGCTGCATGAATAGGCAGTATAAGCTAATATAATTTAACACAGAAGTCGTGTCTATTATTTGCGCATGCATTTTCAAATTCCCTTCTGGAAATGTATAGAACATTACAAAGAATGAAAATTTTCAGCCAAAGTAATAATACATGGTAGTTACTAAAAACTGAGAAGCTGAGTGCAGAATAATAACATATCATCACATGTTTTTCTTACCCTGTGGGCAATAATTTGGCATCAGTGCAGTCATTTAGGGGCAGGCGGATAGGTCCTGGCTTCCTGCTCCACCAACGTAGAACCACGACAAACATTTATTACTGCTCTTCAGAGTTGCATGCTGCTACAACACGTATGGTATATTCAACTCTTTGTAAAGGCTTCCTCTGAGTTTTGCAGGATAGTAATATATTTATATGGTCTTTTTTCAGGCAAGAAGCCCTCCTTGCTGCCATTAGTGAAAAAGATGCCAATATTGCTCTACTAGAACTCTCATCCTCTAAGAAGAAGACCCAAGATGAAGTGGCTGCACTGAAACGAGAGAAGGACCGTCTTGTGCAACAGCTCAAGCAGCAGGTGGGTAGGGGGGTACTATGAAAGAAAGCAGTTAATAATCTGGTGTGAGATTATTACTTTGATTTATGGAATTAATAATGTGTAATCCTCTCAAAGGTTGGGATAGAAAGTGTATAAATAACAATTTCAAACTAACTACCGATCATGAAGCCTGCTTAGAACGTGGGGGGGAAAGAAGAATCCTCATTGGTGGGGGAAGTTCCTTTGTGTCACTTGCCTGAGTAGTAAATGTGTGGTAGAATGTATAGGGAGCTGTGAATGAAAGAAACATTGGTTATTAGCTTCTACAGTTATAAATAACCACAGATTCAGGGAAATGTAGTGATACTTCTCTTGGTGGTCTGGATTTGCCTTGTCAGGGAAGAAAATTCTCATTGCTGTAAAGCTCAAATATGAATGTGTTACTTCACACAGTCTCTACTGTGATTTCAAATCTGTGACAAGAGCACCATATGGGAATGCTAGCTACTAGAGTGGAATTTGGGAAGTCTTGTACTTCTGAGGAGATTGGCCCTTTCCTATTTCTGGCCTCTCCCATTTCTAGGATCTTTTTGTGTTGGCATAACAATAAGGAAAAAAGTGTTTCTATTCAAGCATTTAATATTGGATTTCAGAGAGAATGCGGTGTGAAATATACATTGCCAGTAAAACACAGAGCAGGCAAAAGGCATCCCTGGCAATAAGAGATTTAAGATCTGAAAAATCTATGTAGATACCTCACTTCATCACTTCTGCTGTTTTTTCTGATTTATTCCTTTGCCACATTCCCTGCAATAGCACATAAGCTGCTGCCAATCCGGTATCAACTTCTCTAGTGCCATCATTTCCATCTTCATAAAATTTTATGTGCAACATTTCATCTGTCAATCAGTTTATTTCTGTTGCTGTCAAAGACAGTAAGACAAAACTAGTTTGCTTTCTGATAAGGGATTTCTCTGCTCCTTCCTTGGGAAACACAACTAGTTTATGTGGATGGCCATGGATTTTTAAGATAACAGTTATTTAAATTTAATTTACAAACAGTAATTATGATTATTATACCAGCTTCAAAACAAGCAAGAAGTATAGTTTACAGTCTTGTATTATTTACTGTTGAGCGACAGTTGTAATTACTTTCACTTGTCAGCCAGATGATCTCCTACAGGATTCAGAAGTGGCCACAGCAATAGAAAGTACTCATTTTCTTCCTGTAATTGTCTGTAGGTGTAGTAGTTAATGTACATTACCACTAATTCCAAGAGAAATTGGAACTTTATTGTCATCTCTTGTTATCCTAAGTTTAAATTCCAGCATTTCATGCCTCTTAACCTTTCCCAGTTTCCTTTTGATTATCCTTTGTGGGTAGATAGAACAATCTAGTGATTTGTGGTGGGTTTTTTTCTGCTGAAAAATTGTGATATTTGATTTATCCATTAAGATTGTGGTTATCTTTAATGATTAGGTTTCAGTTAGGTGATTTTTTTTTAAGTTGTAGGTCATGTCATTATTGTTCAGTGTTAATAAGTCTTAAAATACCGTATTCTATTCCTAAAAAGACACAGACATTTCCTTGATGCCCATTCTAAGTGCTTTTCTGTCTAGCTGTGTGGTACTTGATTTACCAAATAAACTAAAATTGCGCAGGAGATTAATTTGAAATTGATGTTTTGTTTTTTTTAAATAAAGAAGCACTAGTCCTTTTTCAAAAAATTCATTGGAATATCCAAATGCTTTTGAAGTTTCTGGTTCCAAAACTGCCATCAGCTATAAAGACTTATCATGTTTAAGGTTGTTTAATACAGTCATCTTAGAAAAAGAAGAAAGCAGAAAGTAACTGCACACATCTGTGCTACGAGTAGTATAAATACAAGCCATATATAAGTAGTGTAAGTATAAATATAAAATCAGAGATAATGAGGCTGCAAGGTATTCTCCAGTACATTCCCAATCCCCAAGGCAGAATATATGCTTATATATAAACAGTCTAAACTATATTTAAACCATAACTGAGAAATATTTTTTTGGCCTAAGAGGGATTTGGACATATCCTCCCTAAAATCAGTCCTACACCTTAAGGATGCATCATCTTTCATCTTTTTGTGTGCGCAGCTTTCAACACATTGAAAGAAAAACTCCTCAAAGTTACTCATTATGGGACAATAATACTCACCTACTGTTTTAAGTTGCAGGGGCTCCCAAATCACTTTTTTTTTCTTGAGTATTAATAGTTTTGATACGTACCTTTTCTGCATCAATTCAAATCATACCAACTTTGACAGCTCCAGAAATATGAGATAGCTCAGAAGAGAAGGCTATGAGATTTTGCAGGATCTTTATTACTGATATAGTCAAAGCGAATCTCATTTTTCCACACGCTTTGCAAGTAACCTCTGTACTTGGCCCCTGTGGTCCTCCTCAGTTATTACAGGTCACCAGCCCTATATTTTCCAACAAAACAACTGAGCTGATTCATCAGTTTGTTTTCTCTACATGGACCCTTTTCTACATCTTGGGAACAAAGGTCTGTCTGTGTTTACCAGCACCACAAGACTATACAGCATTTCAGGAACTTCTGAAAAGTTGAACTGTAATTCCTAAATTTACAGTAGAAATTGTGAACGAAAAATCTTTCAGATTTGCAGATGCATTGAACACAGCTGTTCAAGAAAGGCAAGTAATGCCAGTTAATCAAGATGTTCTGGAAGACTTCAAAAAGCAGTTCTGGAACCTAAAAGGTTTATTCAACCATTCACATTCAGAGCTAGGATCCTGACCTCAGGAATTCCTTCCCTCTGCCTTTAACATTTTTTCAGAGCTGTTGAGCTCCCTGATAAGTATTTGGTACTTGAGTCCATCCCGTTTCTAGGAAATTCTTAGACTTTGTGGTGGGAAAGCAGCTCTTTCAGTTGGCTTGCAGGCACTTGACTAAAAGATTCCTGTTTCCATGTACATAGAATGCAAACAGAAATGCTGAGCAATATTGGAAGGAGGTGTTTATGTGAAGAATTACGCATGCTGTGGTAGGCACCATATTCCTGATTGCTGAATCTCACTGCAAACTGGAAAGGGCCTCTGACCAAGATAATGCTTTAAGAAAGCAGTTTTCTGACTACACAGCAATAGCAAGTGTGGACGGATCCAAGTGTGTATGACAGGATTCAGATTGTGCCTTTTCATGGCTTGTGCTGGTTGTCATTGAGTTGCTACAATAGCTACCACTGCAGACTGACTCACTGTTGAGTTATCTTTCTTAGGGTGTGGAAGGATACAACTAACTCTCTCCAATAACAAAAACCCATTCTACCCATGAGCCTCAATTTACTGCTTAAAAATAAATAAATCCAGTTTCTTCAGCCCTGAAATTTCAAGTGATTGTTATTTATTTAAAAATATTGGTGAAGACATGGATTCACCAAGGAAAGGTTGTACAGATTCTGAAGGACTCTGCAGTTATTCTGTGCTTTAACTCTCCTTTCTCCCTTCCGAACACTGTCACATTCTTGGTCACTTGCACAGGCAGGGTATTACTGCGAAAGACAGGGAAGGAGTCCTGCCAAAGATATTTTGCTTCTTTAATTTCTTTAAGTATGTGTATTAAAGTTTGGATGAAGAGAGGCATTTTGGAAAGAGGATATGGCATCAATGTTGTTTTAATTTAGAGTTTCTAGGCTCTGAATTGCAGGAATGTGCCTCAATATAGAGACCATTTCCTAATGAGGCACTCAGCATTGACCAGGCTTTCCAGTAAACGGAGCTGCCTGTTTCATATTGGTTGTCAGTTTGTATGAGGGATTTCCTCTATCATCGGAAAGGCAGTCCAATTGCAGGGCGAAGGTCACCAGCTAATGTGGTCCCAATTTACTTCCTTCCCAGAGTACTTTGTCTCCATGAGTATTCATGGAGAAGCAGTGGTTGGGAGGCTGCTGCACCAGAGGGGGCCAGGGCTGATGCAAAAGAACGGAGCTAAAGGTTGTCTAATACAGACCAGATGTAGAGTGGCAAGCGCCAGCCAGCGTGCTTGGATTATACGCCATAGAGAAGCCCCCATGATGCGTGTCACTGGAATTGACGGAGACCCAAGGAGCTTTGGCCTGCTTAGTGGCATAACATCCACTGCTCATCTGTTAGAAAGTGGCCTGTTTGCCATTTATTCCTTGCCTTGTCAAGCTAAGTTTTAACGATCAGGGTATACTTACTGTAACAGAGTGAAGCGCTACTCTGCTGCTTTGAGTTGTAAAGGGAAGGCATATCCGAATGGGCTGAGGTTTCCTGTCTGTGGGCTTTCATTCTTAAGCACTTGGGGTTTTCTAGTAGGAGACGTTTGGAGCAAAGCTTGCCATTTTCAGTGTTTTTCTACAGTGTATAGCACAGTGGGGGCATTCCATGCCCAATGTCTCTAGGCACTACTATGCCATAAACATGAAGTAATAGTGCTGAAATTTTCAGGAGCCTCGGAACCATATCAGTGTGCTTTCTGGGAGAGCTGGAAGTATTATGAAATTGAATTGTTTGTAAATCGCTGTATTCACTTGTATTATTATATAATCTTTCATAATTATTCACGATTCTTTTATAATACACTGTAGCAAAAATTATGAGTAACTAGCTTGCTTCAGTGTTATTGATTAAAGATTTTCATTTTAAGTGATGTTACTCTGGGTTAGATTAGTACTGTAATTAATAATAACAGTAATATTCTTATTATGCTGTATTTTCCAAATTAAAAGTAGTTTCAGATCAGTTCCTCAGTCTTTCAAGAATCTATTAAGCTCTTAGCCTATACTTTAGCACACTCACTAAACCACCCAGCTTAAGCTTTCCCCACATATTTCATAAATATGTATTTTCTTTTATTTTCATCAGATATTTTGTTACCTGTTTTCCTCACATTGTTAATGAAAATACCGAATAGTACTGGGTTCAGGACAGAGCTCCATGTAACCCGCTTGATTTATTCAGCTATACCTGTAATCAGTTCTTAAAGACTATTAATGAGGGAGACCTTCAGTCTTGGGAAGTCT